ACTCATTCAGGAACCTTTTCAATCATTTAGCTACTATTGATGTAAATGTTTTATAATCCGTATTCAGCAAAGAGATAGGTCTATAGTTTTTAATTAAGGTTAGATCAGTGTCCTCTTTTCAAATCAATGTAGTATTAGCTTCCATCATGATGCTGGTGTTTTCGCTTCTCTTAGAACTGCATTGTATACCTTTAATAGTATTTGTCCTAGCATATCTTGAAATTATTTGTAAATTTCTGTTGGTAACCCATCAGGACCTGGTGTTTTGTTATTCTTTTGTTTTTTATTGCCTGTATTAGTTCTGACATCTTTATTTTCTCATTTAGCATACTTTTTATTACTGGGACTTTGGGCAAGGCAGCTTTCTCAAAACATTGTAATGCTTTTTCTTCTGTGCAACTATTGTTGTCATTGTATAGATTTTTATAGAACTCCTAAATTATGTTCTTTCTCTCCTCACTTTGATGGCATATATTCCCATCTTCATTTTGTAGTTTAATAATCTACCTTTTCTCTTTTTGCTTCTTCAATTTATAAGTTAATTATCCCCCTAGTTTATTTGCATTCTCAAAGAAGTTTTGGTTAGTTCTCTTTATGTGTTGTGCCAAGTCCTCTTTTCAAGGATGTTCAGTTTATCTTTAATTAAGTCCATTTGTTGTTTTATGTTTCTTTTTGAGGTTCCTTTTGTAACTCTCCCTCAAGTCTTCTATATTCCTCTTCTAAGTATTTCTGTCTTTGTTTCTTCTTTTTGTTTTTGTTTGCCATGTATGCTATAACAACTTCCCTTATGTATGCTTTTGTGGTGGCCCATAAAATTTGCAAGGATCTATCTTCTTTTTGTTTTGTTTACTTTGAGGAAAAAGTCAATTTGTTTTTCCACTGTCTAAATTCTTCCTCCTTCAGTATTGATCTATTAAAAGTCCATCTTGTGGTTTTCTTTTGTCTTTTCCAACTGACTCTCACTGAGTTATGGTCTGCCCAGATGTTTGTTTCTATTTCAACTTCACTCAATTCAGAGTTTAATTCCATCGACATCCAAATCATTTCATTTCTGGACCAGGATTGATGTCTATTGGAATAGTATGTATATTGATTCTTTTCCTGATCTCTCTCTCTCCAAATATTCTGTATATTTAGCTCATCTGCCATCCTAAAAAAGGTTCTTGGTAAAGTTCTTCTAGTTCCATTTTTTGCTTTGTTACTTCTGTAGTCTATTTTTTTATCTATTATTACAGTGAAATCTCCTAATATGCATAAATTATCACTTTAAACCATGGATGACATTGTGTAATTTTTTGTAAAATTGTTCTTGTCCCCCATTTGGAGCATAAATTTCTACTAATAAAACCCATTTTTAGTTTAATATTATTTCCACAACCAGAATCCTTCCCTCCTCATCTTTATAAATTTGCTTAGACAGGATTTTCTCCTTAATACATAACACTACTCCTCTTTTCTTTTGTTGTGATAATGATATGAATGTTTCCCCAAATTTGGGATGTTCCAGTATTTATTTATGTTGTACTTCTTGTAGTGTTATTATATCTAAATTCAATTTTTGTAGTTTGTTAAGGGTTCCCCCCCCCTTTCATGATGGAATTCAGTCCGTTAATATATAGCAATAGAATCCTAACCTCTTATTGCATTTCTCTATATCTAGGTCTTATATTTCTTGTTATTCTAATCTCTCTTGGTTCCTTAGGTGTTTCCCTGTTACTCTCCGGTCTTTCTCCTTTTCCTTGTCCACCCTTTTTTGATTGCAATTCCCTTTCTTCCACTGGAGGTATTCTTAGGTTTCTTTATTCTATTACTTCCCTCTCTTCTATTTCCTCCTCGTTGCCAAAATGTTGATTGTAAAATTCCTCCACTTTATCCAAAGTATCCCTCTATATCTCTTTTCTCTCCATGAAACCATTATACTTTCTGGTGTCAGCCATCTGAAGTTGATGTTAAATTTGGTCAACTGTGATGTTAGAAATTGATAAGGTTTTCGCAACTCCCTGAATCTTCTCGGAACATGTTTAAGGACTACTAGTTGCTTCCCTCTATATTCATCTCTTGTCCTATGTAGCATTTCACTTCAAATTGATTTCTTTACGAATCTGACATGTACCTTGGCACCTGATTAGCTGGGGATAAGGAAGATTTCCCCAATCCTCTGGTAATGTACCCAAAAAGGAATGTATTTTTTCTCCTGATTGATGCAATTAATCCATACAAGACTCCTTCAGAGCCGCACTTTTCTTTTGGAAGGGTCTTATATTGTGCTTTCAACTGCTTTAAGTAGTGAGTGTGATTCTCAGAAGGGGCATTTTTATTTTTTCTGTACTCCTTGTTATATATCCTTTTTAGTTGCACACAATCTCTATCAAACCATTTTTATTCAGAATACTAGTGAGCTAGTATTCTGTTAGTGAGAACCAATTTCAAATTTGAAATTAAAGTTTCAAACCACTCTAAGTATGATCCTTCAAACTTATTCCTTAGTAGAGATGTATGTAGTTCTATGGTTTCTGGAACAAACATCCATTTAGTAATTTCCTTTGCATTTTTTCCAGTCCATTTAATTTTTACCTGGGTATTTTAGCTCTCTAACCTGGATAGGTAGATTGAGCATGCCCTTAGAGATTTCTGGTGTAATGTAAGAGTAAGGTTTACTGAATCATGATCGTTTTCCAGTCGTGAGACTACCTCCATCTTCTGTAAGAACTTCAGGAGGTCATATGATATTATCCAGTATTCAACTGTAGATTTTCTTCCTGCTCCCCGATAAGTATATTCTGCTGGGTAGTTGTCCCATGTGGAGCCATTAAGGATACAAAGGTCCAAATATATAGTCATCTGTCTTACACACAAAGTTGTCTGATTTGCTTTAGTCTTTAAATTGTCTGGTATGCACGGGTTCTCCTGGTACATTCTCATCATAATGGATCTTAAATTGATTAAATAATGCTTCATCATTTGGGCCCATCCTAGAATTTAAGTTCCCCCCACCATAATTATTGCTGCTGTGTTGTATTTGTCTGAGCAGCCAAGAATAAAATCTATGCTGTCCCAAATCTTGTTGATCAAATTATTCTTATTAAGTGGAGGAATAGATATTAAAAAGCAAAATCTCCACCTGTTTAAATAAGAGTAAGGTAGTCACAACCCATGGCTGGAAAGGTGGCAGTGATATGCACTTAAATTGCAGAGATGTATTAACTGCCATAATACCCCCTTTAGCTCTCCCACCCACCTTACTTGAGACAGCTGGGATTGAGTTAGTTAGTTAGTTAGTTCAATAACCATCTAACTGTATCTCTGTGGTAGCCCAGGTTTTCTGTAAGAAGAAGATGTCAGATTGTGATATATAGTCAAAAAAGAGTTGGTCTTTTGATGGAACCCGCTCTATTCCATGTTATAAGGGAAAGAGGGTCATCTTTTGCAGCTCATCAGGAAACTTGATTTACACAAAGAGAAGTGTAGGGTTATTGCAATGGAATGAGATGTCATCACACCCAGAATTGGCCTTCTCTAAAAGGAGGGGAGTCCCATCTAAGTCCTGTGTGAGGAACTTGTTCAGAGTAAGAGGTTTTAGCACCAGCTAACAGAACTTGTCATTCCGGTGCCTCTTTTCTAGGTGTAGGGCAAGGAATTATTAGGTCATGCTTCAGTCAACTTTGAGATGGTGCCACTGACATGGGTCCTCTCACAGTTTCTTGATTTGGTGTTGAAGGTATCATGGGATATTCACATAAGGATGATAGCATCTCCATCTCTACTAGGACCTCTAATGGCCCCTGTGGATCTTGGCTTCTTTCTAACTTGAATAGTATGTTGTCCTGTTCTTTCCTTGGGAGAGTGTCAAAAGCATTAATGAGGCCAGTTTCTGTGCTGTTAAGTATCTATTCACAAAACAAGGCTGGCTGACTCCCACTTTCTTTCTCTCCCTTTCACAAGGTTTAAATGAGGAAGAGACAGCCACTTTGGGAGCTTGCATGTTAACAATTAAGGGTTTAACCATTTCCTCACAGAGGAATCTGATGGAAAAGATTGGAAAGGAGGCTAAATGTGCCTTTATCTTAAATAGCATCTATGGTATGATGGGCTGTTTGAAAGACAGGAGAATCCGCTCCCAATTTGGGGCCTCGGGAAGCCACTCTATAGCATGGAGATCAATCTGTCCCCAGTGGAAGTGAAGAAGATGGCTTAGGGAATGTAGTATAGCACTCTTGATATTCCAACATCTGTAATTAAATCTATTCATATGGTTTTTAAGAGCAATCTGTTGTGTTTGTACTGAGCAATGTGATTGTTGTAATTGAAGGGGAGATGCTTTACTGATTTCCAGTGAAACTCCTCTATTAATACATCCCACTCGTTGCAGAAAATTACAGGGCTTAGATGTCTCAGGATCAAGGAGAAGTTTATTGGCAGCCAGGTTCAGAAAAGCTAGTCAAAAGCTACCATGTAACTTCTGAATAACTCTTCTTATAGAAGTATGCATTCTTATACTTTCTTAAAAGCAGCACAACATGGAAACACTTAACCCATTTCTTATTGGTTATCTTGAGGAGAGAAGCCTTACTTCTTACTTCCCCTTTTGTCTTGGGGCACAGGTAATGGCTACGTGGCTTTGTAAGAACTTTAGCTGAACTCTGTGGTTTGGGGCTTTTGAAATTTTCTGTTTTTTTTCCCCGCATATTTTTATTTCCATTTTCATAACATACAATCACATGTATACTATACATAGCCAGTATCATATAGTATTAAATAATGATTACATCAGTTCCNGGATGGATGGATGGATGGATGGATGGATGGATGGATGGATGGATGGATGGATGGATGGATGGACGGACAGACGGACAGACAGACAGACAGAATAAATCTTCCCACAGCATCCAATGCTTTTATCATACAAAGAATTCTACTATGCAGCCCAAAGTCCCTGAGCACTGTGATAATTCCAATTTCTTTCTCTCTCTTTCCAATGGCAACCACCATCTTGCAGTCATCCAGGCCTCTTTCTGTAGCAAATTACCCTCACTCACCTGTTCCAGGAAATCCGACACCACCTATGACTCCCGGCAGCAATATGCCTCCCTACCTGTCTCCTAATCAAGATGTCAAGCCACCTTTCCCACCAGACATTAAGCCAAATATCAATGCTTTACCACCACCTCCAAGTAAGTATCAAACCTGTGAAAGTCTTCGCCTGATCCTGCTTTCCACCGCATGCAAATTATATTGGTCTGGTTGAAACAATCGAGACAGAGGCGATGGCCTGTGGATTAAGCATCTTTCAGAAAAGTGCAAAGCATTCCAGATCAGCTGGGGGGGGGATTTCTGGGAATAAATCAGACAGAAATATCAAGGGGTCCTCAACTTAAAACAGTTCATTTAGTGACCGTTCAAAGTTACAATGGCACTGGAGTTGGAGACTAAAACATATGAAGAATGGTTGTAGGATTTAAGTTTGGCTAGTCTAGAGAAAAGAAGGACTAGGGGGGACATGATAGCAGTCTTCCTGTATTTGAGCGGCTGCCACAAAGAAGAAGGGGTCAAATTATTCTCCAAAGCTCCAGAAGGCAAGACAAGAAGCAATGGATGGAAACTAATCAGGGAGAGAAAGAACCTAGAATTAAGGAGAAACTTCTTAACAATAAGGACAATTAACCAGTGGAACAGCTTGCCACCAGAAGTTGTTGACGCTTCATTACTGGAGGTTTTTAAGAAGAGACTGGACAGTCACTTGTCTGAGATGGTATAGGTTCCCATGCTTGAGCAGGGGGCTGGATGAGAAGACCTCCAAGGTCCCTTCCAGCTCTATTCTATTCTAATAGGAAAGTCCATCCTTAACTTTCTTCTCCCTCTTCAATTCCAGCCAGCCATAATGACGAGCTGCGCCTGACGTTCCCTGTGCGAGACGGGGTCGTCTTAGAGCCCTTCCGGTTGGAGCACAACCTGGCGGTCAGCAATCACGTCTTTCACCTGCGGCCAACCGTCCACCAGACCCTCATGTGGAGGTAGGATTGCAACGGGGTGATGTTGGTAATTGCCCCAGGATGCCAAACTAGAAGGAAGCCAAAAGACTCTTTATTGGGTCTGTGGTGGATGGGAAGCCCACTCCTGTTTTGAAGGTAGACAATTAACCAGCTTGCCTTTAGAGGTTGTAAGTGCTCCATCACTGGAGGTTTTTAAGAAGAGACTGGACAGCCATGTTGTGGTCCGCCGACGGCTTGCAAAGTTGGCAGCAGAGTCGGACAGTGAGGTGGTTGGGGAGGAACATGGGCCAGTCCTGGAGTCTGGGGAAGGCTCTGATGAATGCTCTGCATCGAAGGCAGAGAGGGGGCCAAGGCCATCTGGTAGTTATGTGCTGCCTCCAGAGTCTGACATCAGCGAGGCAGAAGAACAGTGTGACCTGTTCCAAGTGTGCGAATGCACAAAGCTTCCAGAAGTTAAGACAAAAGGGGCGACTCGGGAGTAAGGCTTGAAAATGGTTGGCCCCTCCCATAAGACATAAAAGAGGAGCGAACTGGACGTGAGCCTTTGCAGGAATCAATTAGTTCATTCTGGTTGGTTCAAACTCTGAAATGCTCTGTTTGACTCGGTGCCCCATTTGACGTTGCAAAACTAATTGGCAATTAGACCTCTGGCAGTGTTTCAAGGGAGATAAAGGTGGGTGCTTGTCAGCATTACCCTGAAAGACTGTGACAGACATCTGTTGGAATCTTCACTGACTGTTTGTAAATCATGTCTAAATAAAAGAGGGTTTTCGACACTAAGATTGTGATTTATGCTTTGTCAGGAAGCCTAGGTCAGAACAAACCACTTGTCTGGAATGGCATAGGGCAGGGGTGTCAAAATCAAGGCCCAGGGCCTGGATCCGGCCCGCAGGGTGCTTAGATCTGGCCTGCAGTGCCTCTGCCAGTGAAAACAGAGCTCAGGAGGATCGCATGCGGCCGTTGCAGCCGAAAACACAGCTTGGGAGCCTGTTTTCACTGGTAGAGCCTTCAGAATGCCAAAAGTGCCCCAGAAACGAGTGACGTCGAGCTGGCCATGCCCAACCTGGCCTCCCGAGGTCAAACACAACCCTGATGTGGCCCTCAATGAAATCGAGTTCAACACTCCTGCTTGAGCCGGGGGTTGGACTAGAAGACCTCCAAGGTCCCTTCCAACTCGTTATTCTGCCATACATATGTAATGAGCAGGTGCTAATAGCAATGCAAACATCTGCCTTCTCTGACAGATCAGACTTGGAGTTACAATTCAAGTGTTATCACCATGAAGACAGGCAAATGAACACTAACTGGCCAGCGTCGGTCCAGGTCAGTGTCAACGCAACTCCACTCACCATTGAACGGGGCGACAATAAGACATCGCATAAACCTCTGCACCTCAAGCACGTTTGCCAGCCAGGAAGAAATACAATTCAAATCACTGTCACGGCATGCTGTTGTGTAAGTACCTAATCTGTTCTTTCTGTGGTTTGGCTGTTTGGAATTAGCTTTAGATGAAGGAAAGGGTGGCTCAGTGGCTAACACTGAGCTTGTCGATTAGAAAGGTCGGCAGTTCAGCTGATGGAATCCCTAGTGCCACCTAATGGATTGAGCTCCCGTTACTTGTCCCAGCTTCTGCCAACCTAGTAGTTCAAAAGCATGTAAAAAGTGCAAGTAGAAAAATAGGGACCACCTTTGGTGGGAAGGTAACAGCATTCCGTGCACCATGGAGATGAGCATCGTCTCCTAGAGTCAGGAACAACTAGCCCATATATGCAGGGGGAACCTTTACCTAAGGAAATGTCCTACCAAGACTTCATATCCCTAGTATTCTTCACCAGTGTTTCACAGCTTGTAATGATTTTTAAGTTTCATTTCTACCTTATTGACCTGTTGGCTCTGCCAGCCAATATCAGCTAAATATTCAGGATAAAGGTTGATCTGGAGCCTAGAGTGAAAAGTTAAAAAAGAAAAATTCTTATAAAAATCAATGACAAATAGAATCATCACTTTCTTCTGGAGTGGTATTCACTCACTTTCCCTTCTGGTTCACAAATGTGAGCATATGCGCATGTGCTTTAGTTTGAAAACCTGCCTAACGGTGGCATAGAGCCAGGGCAAGTGGGCAGGCCCACTCGTGTTTTCCACTACCAGTTTGGGTGAACGGGTCCAAACCAGCTGAATATCACCTCTGACCTTCTTGATTAGGAACATATAATATCTTAACTGAAAAATCCATTTGTCAGAGGGAAAGGATTTTATTCAGTCAATAGATTCCTTGTTCCATGGATACCTCAGGAAAACCATAAAAAACCAAAAAAACTACCCAATGGCACCTCCCTGCTTTAGAAACAATAGAAAGTTAACCAATGTGTGCGTAAATCAAACCAATGGCATTCACTGAGTTGGGGTGGGGAAGGGGAAGGGAAGGGAAAGGAAGAGAAAGAAAGGAAGGGGAAGGAAAGAGAGAAGGGAAGGGGAAAGGGGATTATTAGATGAGAGACACAACGTTGTGATACAATCTGTCATCCCTTTGGACCTCACTGAATGAAATCCAACTCAGATGAGAGAAGTTGGGAAGGGGTAGTAAAGACTGGGTAGTAGAGCTGCCTTCCTAGCCACTAAATACCAGTCATTGTCCCCAAAGGCAAAAAAAAAAAAGGATTTTGGGGGACATTGGACATCCCTTGTGGGACCTCAAAGACCAAAGATGATGATGAAGTCTGGACTCCAGTTGACAAAATGTTACTCAGCCTGGAACTAAAGAAAGTTTCTGAGTGCTCCCCAATATCTTCTTTTGCGGTTGATTTCCTGGTTTTGGTCTAACTGAGAAGGACTAACCAGCATCTTCACTGAGGTGCTTGGAGTCCTTGAAGGCACAACTACCTCAGTGAGACCCAGATGGGCCATGACAACATGTCCATTAGGGGAAAAAAACATTCCAAGAAGTTGGAGCTCTTCCTCTGGAGACCCTCCTGTAAAGACTCATCCCACTCCAAATTTCTCCCGAAATGGGCTGGCATCCTAAAGGAGAGATTTGGAGCGCGAACCCCAGTGAGATGAAACACTCTCAACTAACTTCCCCCTCTGACCTCTTTCCAAATGCATCCACGTCAGATGCTCGGATTGAGTGGCCACAGATCCACAGCTGGGCTGTTGCCTGTTCGGACCAGATCACCCATACCGGTAGTTCCCACCACCGGCTGGACCCATCCACCCACCCCAGTGCTATCCCATCCTATGTATCTCACTCTCTGGCTCGCTCTTCCTGCCCACACAGCTGATTTCCGTGCCTCGCCCGCTCTACTCACCGCGGCTGCCCGAGAAAGTGTACTGGAAGCCGCGCTCATGAAATTGCCATGTGTTTGAAGCCGTGCGCAAACGTAGAAGGCTCACACTCACATTTTCAGTTGTGCACTAGTTGTTAAATTATGTAAAGCCCACCTCTGCATGGATCCTCTATAAACCACTATTTATATATTTTCTCTTTCCCCCAGTCCCATTTGTTTGTTCTGCAGTTAGTACACCGGCCTTCAGTCCGTTCTGTTCTTCAGGGCCTATTAAAGAAGCGCCTGCTTCCGGCTGAACATTGTATCACCAAAAGTGAGTAGAACTTGTGTATCAATGGGCCTGGAAGGCAGACGATGAACTCCATTCAGTCTTGGGACAGTTTCTGTCAAGCCAAGTGTCGTGCTGTTAAAACAGTCCTAAGTATGAATTCTATTATCGCTCCCCCGCCTTTGTTTTTTATTTTTTTTGCAACAGTCAAGAGGAATTTTAGCAGCGTGGCCGCCTCTTCGGGCAACGCTCCTCTCAACGGAGAAGATGGTGTGGAGCAGACGGCCATCAAAGTCTCTCTCAAATGTCCCATCACATTCCGGCGGATCCAACTTCCAGCAAGAGGTCACGATTGCAAGCATGTACAGGTGAGAGCCTCTTCCTGTCTCATTCATGCAGTAAAGATGGTACAACTTGGTATCTATTTGTTTAACAAATGCGTACAGCCACCCATCTAATTATTAACTACCAATAGTACTAATGCTAAAATTGTCAGGTGCTATGCTGCCCCACTCACTTACACATACACATCAGTGTGGTTTATGGAGAGTTTTATTGGTGTTCCCCAGCAGTTCTCTTCATCCCGGCTTTTGAACTTGTTGTAGGCTGCCATCTGCCAGTGGAGCTGGCAGCAGACTCGGATGATGAGGAGGTTGGGGAAGAACTTGGGCCAGTTCTGGAGTCTGGGAACGGCTCTGATGCAGTGGTGGGTTGCTCCCGGTTCGACCCGGTTCAGCTGAACCGGTAGTAGCTTGCTGGTCTGAATCGCTGGAACCGTCAGCAACCCAAGCCAGCTACGCCCCTGAACCAATTCTCCCGCCAGTGCTGTAGGTGCCACCATCTTGTTTTTTGCTTCTGCACATGCACAGAGCAATTTTAGTTGTACAGTGCATGCACGCATCAAGCGCACATGTGTGCGGCACGCCCCTGAACAAACCGACAGTAGTCTCTGCCAGAACCCATCTCTGGTGCAGGGTCAATAATTAACTCTCAGGAATGAGCTCCTTCGCCCTTGAGCCAGCCTCCAAGGAGTCATTCAAGGGAGACATTGCAGGCAAGAAGAATCAGGATCACTCATTAAGTTCCCATTAAGCTGATATATTGCTCATCCCTGTGCACAAGAATCTGGTCAACTAACAGTCAGGACTAAATTGGCGCTAGATAAAAATTAATGGAATTCAAAGGGTGCTGGCCGTGTATCGCTTGTGAGGATGTAAAGATTCCAGGCTGATTTCTCTCTTGATTCCCCACCCCCAGGGGAGTCTGCTTGCCATTCTACTGCAAAAATGCTAATTAATCTGATGCTGAAACCTTGGGAAAACTAATGCATTGTATCTTGATACATTCACATGATCATCCCCAAAATCTTCTTTAAAACCGTACCGAGCTTTGCCTGCCTTTTAGTTAATTTTAAACCCAGCTTCTCTCAGAAGTAAATGAATTTTCTTTCTGGTTCCTTGACTTTCAACCTCCATGGGTTCCTATGGGACTATTTGATGCTTTTGATACTGTTGAGAGTTCCACATGCACTTAACATGGAGTATTCTCCCCATTGCCACCCAAGTATTCCTTGTGTGTATTTGAGTGCTTTTTTTTCAAGGTTTTATTTTTTTATTTTTACTAATTTTAACATATTTTGTAAACGAAGTGTTATCTGGGACTTTTCTTTTACATCCTATTATCTACAGATCCATTTTACATCATAGTTCTGTTTCCAATTTCAGCCATATTATTCTCTTTCAATATTTTTTTTATCTTAAACTTATTTTCTTCTTTGTACATAAACAATATCACTAATCGCCCCTTCATGGTTAAACCAAATTATCATTTCACATTTCATCTGTTAGTCTATTTTACTGTAAGCAACATACATACTCAAGTTCAATTTTTACATAGAGAACATTTAACTTAATTAATTATCCACAATTAACAATGTTACTATAATTCACTTTTAATTGACTACACGCCATTAACAATGTTAATACAATTCCATTTAATTTATTAATATATTCTTTCTTTCCCTTCCTCCTCCTCTAACCATTTTCTCTTGATGTTTCAAAGCTTCCACTTCTTATTAATTTTGTTCTTTTCTCCCATTCTCCTAACTTCTTTTTCTTATTTTTATAATTGTTATATCTTTTCTTCATCCTTTTTCTCACATTTAATTTTATTGTTCTAGTAGTTTTCCCCAGGGTTTTTCCTAGTCTCTTCCCACTATCTCCTTCTTTGCTGTTTGTTGATTGTTTCTTTTTGGGGGGACATTCCCCCCTGTCTACCCTTTTTGTGTCACTGTGAACCCCAGTGAATCATCTAACTGTTTTTTTTATTTTCAGTTCCTTTTTCTTCAATATTATTTCCTTGTTCTTCATTTGTGCCCTCTTTCATCCCCTTCTCTCCTATTTCCTGGTCCGTGTGCTCCATCTGAATTTCTGACTTTTTCTTACCATTTAAGAAGTGTGTATTTGAGTTCTAATTCCCTCAACCCAGATGGAAGTCTTCTCTACCCATCATTGCAATAGCAATAGCACTTAGACTTGCTTTTACAGCCCTATGAAGCGGTTTACAGGGTCAACCTATTGCCCCAAACAATCTGGGTCCTCATTTTACTCACCTCGGAAGGATGGAAGGCTGAGTCAACCTTGAGCCGGTGAGAATCGAACCGCCAAACTGCAGCCAGCAGTCAGCTGAAGTAGCCTGCAGTACTGCACTCTAACCACTGCGCCACCTCGCAATGGTTCCCATCCCAAATCATAGCACGTGTTTTCAACAGATATGTGCTTGAAACAACAGCTTTCTTCTCTACGACTTTGTATCCTAACGCAGGGGTCCCCAACCCGCGAGCCACGGCCTGACTGTGGGACGTGGCCCATTCAGAACTGGTCTGTACACAAGCAGCAGGAGAGCTCATGCATGCCTGCTGCGCACATGGAACTATTCCCCTCCGCAACCAGTCTGCAAAGCCGGAAAGTTTGGGGACTGCTGTCCTCATGTTTTCAGTGATTAAAACTAACTTTTGTGTCATGCTTTGAAGCACAGCCCAATGGGTTTTTTTTCTTCCTGGCATGCATCTGATGAAACAGCTTCTCTTCTTTATCCGTACCCATTGGGGGGGTGTTCTTTGCAGCGACATCTTCAGTGTTCTTTGCAAGCTGCACCATCGTTTAATTAAGATTTTCCTGTTTTTTCTTCTGCAGTGTTTTGATCTGGAATCCTACCTGCAGCTGAACTGTGAACGAGGCACCTGGAGATGCCCCGTATGCAAGTGAGTGGTAATATCAAAATCTGTGCTAATATAACAAAAACCAGACCAATGCAAAATTAGTCTTCCATTTTGCACAGAGATGTAACATAGTTAACCTAACAGTATTTTTTTTAAATGCAATAGTTTTGCTGTAGACCTCATTTTTTATGATGATAAAGATGATAAAGGATCTGCAGGCTAAATCATATGATTGAGGGAACTAGATACCGTATTTTTCAGTATATAAGATGCACCTTTTCCTCCCCAAAAAGGGGGTGAAAAACTGGGTGCGTCTTATACATTGAATACAGCATTTTTGGCCTCCCGAAACCTCTCCCCGTACATTCCTTTTTTCACAAAAATGGATGCGCAAGAGGGTTTGGGAGGCCTGTAGAGTGCTCCTGGGGCTGGGGAGGGGAAAAACGAGTGAAAACAGGCCAATTTCTCAGAAAAAGGGAGTGTTTTTGCCCTCCCAAGACCTCAGCCCCCCCAAACCCTCTGCACACCCTATTTTTGCAAAAAATTGGCCCATTTCTTGCCTCCCAAACCCACCACGCATTGCGCTTTTGCCCTCCCCAGCCCTCAGGAGCACTTTTTTGGCCTCCCAAATTCTCTGCATGCTCTATTTTTCACAAAAAATAGGGTATGCAGAGGGTTTGGGAATCCTGCAGAGTGCTCCTAGAGGCTGGGGAGGGCAAAACCCTTTTTTTTTTTAAATTTACCTCTTCAAAATTTTGATCTTATACTCCAGTGCATCTTATAGTCCAAAAAATACGGTATGTTTGGCTTATTAAAGAGAAGGATTAAGGGGGACATGATAACTGTCTTCCAATATTGGAGGGGTTGTCACAAGGAAGAGGGGATTGATTTATTCTCCAAAGCAGTGAGGGCAGGACAAGACGTAATGATGGGTGGGTGATAATCAAAGAGAGAGATTCAACCCAGAACTAAGGAGACATTTCCTGACAGGAGAACAATTAACCAGTGGGAAAGCTTGCCTCCTGGGAGCCCTCCATCACTGGAGGTTTTCAAAAACAGTCACAAGGAAGAGGGGATTTGACCTGAAAAGTATAAGGCAGTGATGGCAAATCTTTTCAGCACTGAGTGCCAAAAAGAGAGTGTGCAAGCTTGCCTGCGCATGAGTATGCTCATTGTGACCGCAACCTGGAAGAGGAGCTGCCCAGGGCGCATGCGTGCACCAGAAAATGAACCTCCAGTTTCCGGCACACCTACTAGTCTTCCGGTTACTGACATGCATGTGCACGCGATGATCAGCTTCTCACGTCGAAAAATGGAAGACCGGCTCTTCCAGTTTCTGGCACGGGTGCACGCATGAAGGCCAGCTGATCATCGCACATGCATGCATGCCAGAAAGCCAGAAGAAGAATGCGCAATGCTGCAAGTGCCAAGCGACATGGCTCCGAGTGCCACTTTAGGCACGCCTGCCATAGGTACGCCATCACGTGTATGAAGACTCCTGCCTTGAGCAGGGGAGTTGGACTAGAAGACTTTTGAGGTCCCTTCCAGCCCTGTGATTCTCTGTCCTATGTTCTCCATAAGCTATGCTCCTTGAAATGATTCTTCCAAGTCAACTCAATTGTTAGTGTTTGCTTGGACACGCCCAAGTAATGTGATCCTCCTTATTTCCTTGGCAGACGCATAGAATTGCTTTGCTACTTTGCTTATATCTCTTCAGAGACGTATCTCATATTGCAAATGTAATGCAAGTATGTAAATGTGTGCCCTGTTTTTCTCTTCCAGTAAAACAGCTCTGCTGGAGGGCCTAGAGGTGGATCAATACATGTGGGGCATTTTGAACGCTATACAAAAGTAAGTGTATCTTTTAACATTATGTTCAGTCGCCTATGTTATTTTTTTTTTAAAAAGACTTTTTATATTTTTTATAAAAATGTCAAATCAATGTGTGAGCAGTGTGGCCCCTGGGCGCCATACATTCCAGTACAAACACAACTAGCCAAATTAAACATTATTATACATTCAATCAACTTGTAAATTTCCCATAACAATACACATCTACATTTGGCTACAGTCTATCATTATTCAATTATTCCACCGATTTCTCCTCGTTACTTTCATTTCACCAAATAGAAATGTAATACATTGATATTCCCTTTATTTCTAGCTTTTAATCGTATCACCCTATATTAGAAAGCTTTTTCTTTCTTTCCTGTCAAATTGTGTCACCTGCCTACAAAAAGAGAGAGAGAGAAAAGAGGAAGGGAGAAGGAGATATAGGAGAAGACAGTTCAAATCAAGAATCAAAAACAGGAATCATCCATCCATGATCTCCCACCTGTGTTCTGATCTAGGCTTCCCCAGCAGCACAAAGCTGAATCCTTGTCCCGATAAAACCCTTTTATTTAATTTACAGTTTATTCCACCCAAGGAAAGTCTTTCCTCTCCCACAGTCTTTCAAGATAGTTCATAGTTCCCGACCTTTATCAGGCTTGGAGAGTGGCCAGGCCGATATCTTTCAGATGCCACAATACTTGGCAAGAATGCAGGAATGAACTAATTGTCTCCTGCAAACTCCCCTCCCCCTTNTTGGAGAGTGGCCAGGCCGATATCTTTCAGATGCCACAATACTTGGCAAGAATGCAGGAATGAACTAATTGTCTCCTGCAAACTCCCCTCCCCCTTCTCTCCTCTTTTATTCCTTATGGGAGGGGCCATTCACTGTCCACCTGTGGCCTTACTCCCAAGTCGACCCTTGTTCCTTAGCTGTTCCCTTCTCCTGGCAGCTCTACACATGCGCATACTGGGAACAGGCGCTAGCTGTTCTTCTGCTCCACTGACCTGATTCTGAAGGCAGCTGATAACTATGAGACGGCTCTGGCCCCATCTCTGCCTCCGACGCAGAGCCCTCATCAGAGCCTTCCCCAGACTCCAGGACTGGCCCATGTTCCTCCCCAATCTCCTCACTGTCCGAATCTGCAGCCAGCTCTGCTGGCCACTGGCGGGCCACAACAATCTGCTCTAATTTTTGAAAGACATTTTCTAGAGTTTGTTTCAACATAGAATCTTAGGTCAGTAAAATCTGATCATTTCAGAACATGATGTCCTCCTCATGTGAATTTTTGGTCCTCAAAGAGCTTTCCTAAATTGTGAATATTGTGAATCTGAGCTTTCCTCAGCCCCCAGGACTGCCCCATGTTCCTCCCCAACCTCTTCACTGTCCAAATCTGCTGCCAGCTCCGCAGGCCGCCAGTGGACCACAACACATTTTTTGGACATGTTCAAACAAGCCAGTCTAGTCCATTTGTGGGAATGTTTAATTTGGATTTTTGTAGTGGATATGTTGGATCATGAGGAAGGCTGAGTGCCAAAGAATTGATGCTTTCAAATTGTGGTGTTGGGGAAGACTCCTGAGAGTCCCTTGGACTGCAAGAAAATCAAATCAGTCAATCCTTAAAGGAAGTCAACCCTTCTTTGGAAGGATAGATGCTGAAGCTCAAATAGTTTGGCCACCAAATGAGAACTACTTGGAAAAGACCCTGATGTTGGGAAAGATGGAAGGGGAAAGGGAAAAGGGACGGCCAAAGGATAAGAGGGTTAGATAGCATGATTGGCGCAATGAACAAGGATTTGTAAAGATTCTGGGAGACAGTGGAGAACAGGGGGCCTGGTGTGCTGTGGTCCATGGAATCGTGAAGAGTCAGACACGACTTAGCCACTGAACAATAACTGGATACATATTGGACTTGTTGACTTTAATATGACAATGACATTAGCAACATCTAAAATGTATATGTTGCGTTGAGAGCTCTCAGTATTGTGTTGTGTTTTCACAGCTCTGAGTTTGAAGAAGTCACAATTGATCCAACGTGTAGCTGGAGACCTGTCCCAATCAAGTCAGACATTCACATCAAGGATGATCCAGATGGCATTCCTTCCAAAAGGTTCAAAACCATGAGTCCCAGCCAGATGATCATGCCTAATGTGATGGAGATGATTGCTGCCCTGGGTCCAGGTCCATCTCCTTACCCATCAATCCCACCGCCTCCCGGAGGAACCAGCTCCAATGAATACAGTAGCCAAGGTGAGTTTCCCATTTGATGCGTGCAACCGATGTCTGCTTGGACGTATTTTGAGATTCTGATGGTTGAATCCTACCAAAGGGTCTGGGATTGGCAGATGTGGATGTTTGGTGGTGTTATCATCACAGGATGTAAGCTGCTCTGAGTCAGGCTGCCTTTTGCAATTGACTGAGGGTGAATTTGTCTCCTGAAAACTCCACTCTTCTTTTGCTCCTCTTTATTCCTTTTGGGAGGGGCCATTCACCATCCACATGTGCCTTTACTGCTGAGTCGGTCCTTGTTCTTTAACTGTTCCCTTCTCCTGGCAGCTCTGCACGTGCACACATCAGGAACAGGCTCCAGCTGTTCTTCTGCCCCACTGATCTCCAACTCTGAAGGCAGCTGATAACTGTCAGACGGCCCTGGCCCCCTCTCTGCCTCTGATGCAGAGCCCTCATCAGAGCCTTCCCCAGATTCCAGGACTGGCCCATGTTCCTCCCCAACCTCCTCAGCTCTGCTGGCCGCTGGCAGGCCACAACACTTACTTTGCAATTAGCATGTTTTTGTGTGAGGTTATGCAGAGCTTAAAAATATAGAGCTGGGAATGACGAACCATGATTTATTTTTCATGGAAATTCTAGAGTAAATGAAATGAAGTCTCTTCTGAGTTGACCTCAACTCCTGGAATATCCTAGTCACTGGTGGTGGTTTGTTCTCTGAGCTGCTTGTTTAGCTTCCTAACGTTTTGTCACTGGGCTAGGTAACATCAGCAGCGGAAGTTTTATAGGTCTTATGTGGTCGGTTAGTCATGTGACTGACTGGGCATGTCACGTGAGGATCATCTGGTCGTGATCAGTCAGTAAAGTGACCATCTGACCACATAAGACAGGGGTATCAAACTCAAGGCCTGTGGGCCAGATCTGGCACCTGGGGCCACTCTGGAAACAGGAAAGGACCATCCCACAGGGCCTCTGCCAGCAAAAACGGACCTTGGGAGGGCTGTGCTCAGCCCGCCTGGACTCCATTTTCAACCATGACAGCCTCCTGCAGCCCTCTGACAGCAAAAACAAAGCATGGGGAGGCAACAAACGGGATCCCCAAGCTCTGTTTTTGCTGGCAGAGTGTCAGCATTAGTTGCAGCAATCACATCCAGAAAGCACACACAGGTAACTGATTCAGCAGGATTCATTAACTTTTCTTTTTATATAATATAACACACAAAGTAAATATGCAATACTGAAAGCAGGTTTTCCAATGTGGTAGTAAATACAAGCAAAACACAAGCAGAAGAGAGAACAGTTTCAGTTCCAGTTCAGAGCAGCAGACTAGTAGAGAGCTCAATACAGACTCAGAGCTTAGTGCAGAAATTAAACTAAGCCACACCCAGGCTCCTTACTGTCTCCTTGTTACTTACACAGCAAATACTGTTTCAGTTTCCAAACAGCCCTCATTGGCTGACCTGTTGCCATGTCTATTCCAGTCTATGAACATACTCTGACACAGAGGACTGCAGGAGGCCATTGTGGCCTAAAACGGAGCCTTGATGAGTGACGTCGAGCTGGCCATGCCCACCCTGGCCACACTCACCCCAAGCACACACACCCTCCCCTCCAGGTCAAACACAGCCCTGATGCGCCACTCAATGAAATTGAGTTTGACATCCCTGACATAAGACCTATAAAAGCAGAAGGGAACTCAAATTAGATACTTCAATCGCAGTTCCACTGAAAATGTTACCTGGTGATGAAACGATCAGAAATTAAACAACAAACTAACAACATCGACCACCCAAGCTATAAATATTTCCCCCCATTTCTTGTCCAAGTAATTGTCTTGCCATTTTGTTCGTCCCTCCAATTCATCAACCCGTACAACTTTCCCTGGAATTTTTTGGCGGCCTCCTGTCATAGTATATAATTAACCATGCCAAATTCTTTTTTAACTAACTTCCAATTCCAGACAAGGTAACAGCTGGCGAAAAAGGTTATTTGGAGAGGAAACCCTTTAACGAAACAGGCCAGCTTTTATCAGGGTTTTAGGGAAACCCACAGATTTGGGCATCAATCATTTTGTGAATGAGTAAGCAGATGCTGTGTTAATCTGTCAAGAACCGTGTTAGCAAATTCAGTCACAATGCTCAAGAGCAGGTCAGCCGTTTAAAACTGATTTTCCAGCTGTCTTTCCCAGTGACATCTTAATTTCAGGTTGCTAGCTTACAATTCTCCATTGCAAAGACCCTGAAAGAAATGCCTGAGCAAAGAGCTTCTTGACTATCTCTCCACTTCCCAAAGAAGTTTCACCAGTGCCCTCCCCCGCTATTCTTTCAAGTCCCAAGCCCTAACTGTCCTCTCTTCCAAACGAACACAATTGAAGTTGAGGAGCAATCAGCTCTCTTCCTTCCTTGTCTTAATCCAAAATATAGACATGGGTCTAAGACCAAGCTTGTTCAACCGATGAAGGATTCAGCCAGTTTGGGTTGGTTTGGACTATTTTTACATCTAGTTTGCCAAACCGGTAGTTGAAAGGACTGGCTGGCCCAGCCTGTCCTGCCCCTCCCAGGAGTCTCAACACAGCCCATTTTGGATGCTAGATAATGGTAGAGCCTGGGTGGAGACTCTGGGAGGGCAATAAATGGGCCTCCTGGAAGTTCCAGAAGTTTGGAGACAGGCCCATTTCCAGCATCTGGAGCCCAGGGAGGCTGTTTTTGCCCTCCTGGAGACTCGAAGAAAGCCTCCATGGCAAAAACCCATGGTGCAGGAGGCCAAGTAAGCCACACCCACCATGGCCACGTCCACCCAGCAACCGGGCAGAGAAACGGTTGCTAATTTTTTTCAATCCCACCTCTGAACCAATGATTCAGTGAATAAAATACAGTGATAAACTGGAGGCAAACAAACCACACTAAGGATTTGTGAGTTATGTGGACTTCAGGTTGGCTGTTGAACACTGAATTCAATTTACTTTGATGCTTCTTCTGAGATACTCAGTTTTCACCTCTGTTTGAGCACATGTTCTTCATAACCAGTGACCCTTACTTCAATCCATTCCTTGCAGTAGAACACAGACTAACTGTAGTTTAGTATCTCATCTTTTTATTGTTGTTGTTTTTGAAGAAAGCGATACCAAAAGGAAATCTTACATTTTTATGTTGGGAATATTATTGTTGTTGTTGTTGTTATTGTTGTTGTTGGTTAA